CTCGCAAAATGGCTATTCAAAGTTCCAGAAAGGCACAAAAAATTATCTGCGTTATTTTGAATGTCGAAATGAATTCAAACAAAATTTAAAATAACTGCTTTTGATTGGTTAAAATAAAAATTTGTGTACAAACGAACGAATGTACGCAATAACAGTTGTAACTAAGGCCACTCAGTAATAAATGACATGTATTTATGAAGTAGTACAAATTATAAAACTAACCAAAAGAAGAACTGGAGAAGTGACATAACCTAACTATTCTAGTCAAACAAAATAAACAATAATTTGATATTATAAAAAGAATGCTTCCAGAATTGAATTATATGCACAACAAAACAATTATAGATGGTAATGTATTATAAAGTGATTAAACAAAGTTATTTTATTGTGATTTATGTTTCAGAGCTTAATCAAACAGTCTAAATACTATTGAACAATTCTTAGTATATAATAGTTATCAAATCAAATATATGAAATTGTCTTTGAGAAACATTCCACAGAAGTGAAATACTTTAGTAGTTACGACTCAAGCTAATTGTTTTATATTGATAGTAATGAAAAGGTTAGTACATGTAAATACATTCTTTGTAGATTTAAATAAAATATTCTTGTGAAAATATAAATGCTACAAGACGAGCGAAACGTAATTCCTGTAGTTTATGCACTACTCAAGAACAAAACTCGCTCTACACATGAGAGATTATTTACGATAATAAAAGGAGCCACAAACTGGAAAACCAACATTAGTGACTGTGGGAAGCAGTAATTATAGCTATAAGGAATGTGTTTCCTAACGTTGCAATAAATGGCTGTCATTTCCACTACAATCAATGTATATGGCGAAAAGTACAACAGTTGGGCCTAGTTGTAGAATACCGGCACGATGATGAACTGCGACTACATATTCGTATGTGTGCTGCTTTGGCGTATATTCCACTTGAAGATTTGGATATCAGTTGGCTAACCATTCAAGAAAATTCACCCGTTAACGAAAAACTTCAAAAGTTCTACGATTATTTCGTGGATCAGTGGCTAGAAAATAATAAATTACGCCAGATATGTGGAACTGCAGCAAAAAGCTCCATCGTACAAATAACGTCGTGGAGGGATAGAACAAGTTACATCATCCGGTCAAAAGAAAACATCCGCCTGTCTTACAGTTGATTAAACACTTAAAAGAAGAAGATGAAAATAGTGATTTTCTTTATAAACGAAAAGAATTGAATTTGGAGGGAAAAAGAAGAAAAACAAAATACGTCAAGTTGGACATTAAAATTAATAAAATAATAGCGGCATATACAGAAGCAAAAGACGTCGCCAAATTAGAGTAACCGACTGTAGGGCTCTGCATTTTGTAAATATTTTGTAAATACCATTCTTTTTGTAAATTCTTAAAAAACAAAAAAACAAAAATTAAAAAACTAAAATAAATACAAAAAAAACTTTTAAACACGCCAGCAAATCGCTCCCAGTCCTAAGCCTAGAAATGGTGTGAAGGAAAGTTTTAAAAATAAAATTGAGTATAACTGTATATGTACGCAAGTAGGACTAATATGGTAATACTTTTACCCGACTCAAGAGATAATCTAACCCGTGTACGCCGACCAGTGCCATCAAGAACAGATCATCTCGTAACTTATGATCTAGCAATCTCGAAAATTATTAAATTTATTTTCCCTATAAATGAGTCTACGAGGAAAACTCAATGTTGTATATTTGTCTACCACCCTTTAGTTGTTTTACACCTTTATAGATAAGGTTCATTACGATTTGTTTTTTTCAAATCATCTTCACTTATTTCTCTACTAATTCGTTCAGGTAACAATTTTATGTGTATTATCCAGAATACAAGTAAGACCACAAAATGGTGTTATCATTTCAAAGTCTGTAGCTACATATTTTTTATTTATTTCTAGATCTTTTAAGTTTGTATAGTTGAAACTTTTAGATACACTTATTAGTTTTTGTAAAAAATATTGATCCATCATTTATTTATACAGGGTATCTGTAAAAGGTCTTTACAAAAACATACCACATATTCCTTAGACCAAAATAAGTCGATTTAAGTAAAATTACCTTAGTACAAAGTTGCTTCGTTTGGGCTCCAGAGGGCCTTGAAGTTACAATTTTTAAATCGTTTTTCCCATATAAATTTAAAACGGCATATGCGATTTTGCTGAAATTTGGTATATTGGTAGAGTTTTATATGGCAAAAAAATGGTATTAAAATTTTGTCCGATAATAATACATAGGCGTAGAACTTGATTTTTTAAATAATTGCACCTTTAAAAATTCTACGCCAATGGAAGAAAAGGAGTTTGAGTATGAAATTTAGATTGCGCAACTCATTTACTTTAAAAAAGGTACTCTTGATAAGACTCGATTACTCTCATGGTTTTGACGAAATTTGCATTTTAGTAATTTTAGAACATAAACAATAATTATTAAAATACAAACTTTGTCAAAACCATGAGAGCAAATCGAGTGTTATCAAGGGTACTTTTTTGTAGTAAATGAGTACCCAATCCAAATTTCATACTCAAACCCCTTTTTTGCCATTGGCGTAGAATTTTTAAAGGTGCAATTATTTAAAAAATCAAGTTCTACGCCTATGTATTATTATCGGACAAAATTTTATACGATGAAAAACATAAAAATGTACTTTTTTTCATATCTTCTTCAACACCTCTAATCGAGACTTTTAACAAAAATACTCGATTCTTGCCATGTACGATTTTTTGAGGAATATTAATTATTTGCCTGCAATACGTATACAAAAACATTTATTGTTGGTTTCCATAGTTTCATCTAAATAAAAATATTGTCAAGTTTTAACACCTAATCTCTTGTTAACGATTGAAAGTGTTCTATCTGACTCAATAATTAAAAAAACAAATGCGTGGTTTATTAATATGGCTGTACAATATACCAATGCAGAATATACCGATAAGTTACTGACATTAGGATTTTGTGAAGGAAATGCTCGAGAGAGTGTCAGGGTACTCTGAAAGGTTTCCAAATCGTCGTGTACCTAGCCACCCAACTTTTGCTGCTGTTGAGAGACATCTTCGGGAAACCGGTTCCTTTGCTCCCAACACTGTTGATAATGGAAGAGAACGTTTTGTAAGGATTCCTGAAGTTGAAGAAGACATTTTAGAACGTGTTGAAGAAGATCCAGAATTAAGCACCAGACGAATTGGAAGGGAACTAAGAGTAAGTAAAGATGTCGTTCATAAAGTGCTTAGAGAACAATTGCTATATCCATACCATAAGAAGCCAGTACAAGAATTATTAGTCCATGATCCTCAAATTCGTTTGGGTTTTTGTCGATTTGTTAATATGCAAAGAGAAAGAGATCCAAACTTTGTCAAGAAGGTTCTCTTTACCGATGAAGCGGGTTTTACAAGAAGAGGTATAACTAATACCCACAATGAACATGTTTATGCCGTTGAAAATCCGCATGCAATAAACGTAAACCATTTTCAGCACGAATTCAAAATTAATGTGTGGGCTGGAATAATTGGTAATTTCATTGTTGGTCCTGTCATACTTCCACGAAGATTAACTGGAGAAAATTATTTGGATTTTCTACAAAATATGTTGCCAGAATTGTCAGAAGATTTACCTCTCCAACTTCGGAGAGATATGTGGTTTATGCAAGATGAAGCTACACCACATTTTTCTTTAAACGTTAGAAACCACTTGAATGAACAATATCCACACAAATGGATAGGCAGAGGTAATGACGCACCTGTAAACTGGCCACCACGTTCCTCATACCTAACACCGATGGATTACTTTTTATGGGGCACCACGTTCCCCATACCTAACACCGATGGATTACTTTTTATGGGGACATCTGAAATCCACAATTTACAGGGAACCTGTAGAAAATGAGGAACAACTCTGGCAACGTATTTAAGATGCAATAAACAATCTTAGAGGTGATGAAGAAGTTATGGAAAGGATACATTTTAATTTTCTTCGACGTATAAATCTTTGTATGCGTGAAAATGGTGAACATTTTGAACAATTTTTGTAAAATCTCTATTTTGATTATGTTGTAAATAAATATTTTTTGAAAACCTATACACTCTAAATTATTAAAACAGAAATTTAGCGAAAACCATGAGAGTAGTAATCGAGTCTTATCAAGAGTACCTTTTTTAAAGTAAATGAGTTGCGCAATCTAAATTTCATACTCAAACCCCTTTTCTTTCATTGGCGTAGAATTTTTAAAGGTGCAATTATTTAAAAAATCAAGTTCTACGCCTATGAATTATTATCGGACACAATTTTAATACTATTTTTTTGCCACATAAAACTCTACCAATATACCAAATTTCAGCAAAATCGCATATGCCGTTTTAAATTTATATGGGAAAAACGATTTAAAAATTGTAACTTCAAGGCCCTCTGGAGCCCAAACGAAGCAATTTTGTACTAAGGTAATTTTACTTAAATCGACTTATTTTGGTCTAAGAAATATGTGGTATGTTTTTGTAAAGACCTTTTATTTTTTAACTCAATGATTTTTTTTTATTTTTCGTTAACTCAATTTTTCTAAAATTCTAAATTTTTCTAAATTATTTGCAATAACTCACATGCTAAATTAATGCAAAATTTTCGATTTAAAAATTCTATTCACTTCCACTTCCAACCTAACATGAATAGGTTTTGAAATTTATTGAAAATTATTAAATCTAATTTAGTGAAATTACATCTAATTTAGTTAAATTTGATATAACTAATGATTCAAAATTTTTTGGGTTCAGTTGCAATAAAATAGGTTGAATTATTTTAGCTTTTTAATATATGTCAATAATTTTGTAAATAAAACGAGAATAATGAAATAGGCATGTGACAATAGCGGATATTATACCCTCCTGTGTCCCTTAGAATATGTCTTATTCAGGACCGCACGATATTTGTTAGTAGTTACATCTTCTGTTATCTCTGCCATACACAGTATAGGGTAGTAATATTTAGGATTTACTTACTTTTCGTGAAGATACGTCAATATCAATCTGGGCACTTTGAAGACGGTAATAATCAAAGAACCGAGCGCCACGGATCCGAGATGGTATTTGACTAATTTTCCCGTGGCGTAGCAACAATGTGCGTTATCTTTGTATTTGTGCCGGTAAAACCAATGCGCCACCGATCCGGCTATCACCATTTGTTGACACGCCATAATAAATTCCGACGTCCAAATTAGTCCGATGAAGTATACCCACCACATGCCTCTGATCCAAGATGCGTCTACATATTCAACCACGTTGACTGCAACATACGAAAATTTGTTATTTATATTCATTTAAAAGAATCGATTATAGTAGAATCGCAATCGACACGGAGTAATAAATCCACATGATTGAAGGTTACTTCTGGTAATATTTCAATCGGTGTATGAAGATAATATAATAGGGTAACCTTATGGATTTATCATTGGAGGACGATGGACGATGAATGTAGATGGCGATACTGTATTTGTGGTCCAAGTCAGGTCTTTAAGTCGAATTTTGTATTTTTTGTAAACGGTTTGCAGTAGCCCTGTCGAGACAAGGATAGTATACAGAGATGCAGTATGTTATTTTAGAGATTACCAAGCTTTCACATAGGGTTTTTTTCATGTTAAATGTTAAATATTGTTTACTTGCATATAAGAGTCTTAGACGAAAATAACAATTTTTTGACACTTGAGAAACATGTTCAACAAATTTTAAATTTTCATCTAAATACAAACCCAAGTTCTTTTCACAAGGAGAAAATTTTATTTATTTACCATTTACCCTAATCTGCATGTCCGATTTAAGCATATTCTTATATATTTTTGGAGAAAACAACAAAGATTTTGATTTTTTAGCATTTAATTTCAAACCATGCCCTTTCACATATTCGCTTATTTTATGCAAATCTTGATTTATGCGAACATTAGCTATTTCATATTCGGAAGGATTAAAATGAAAATATAATTGAGTGTCGTCTGCAAATAACTGTTTTTTGCAAAATTGTAAATATTTAGTAATATCAAACGTGTATATTTGCATTTAGATATAAGAAGTTTGTGATTAATCGTATCAAAAGCTTTACTAAAATCTAAAAGAACTAATACAGTTGACATATTTTTATCAAATGAACCGATAAACTCTTGTTAGGGCTGTTACTGTACTATGACCACTTCTGAATCCGGATTGATCACCAACTAATTTGGAACTGTTTACGTAATCATTTAACTGAAGATAGACAACTTTTTCTAATATTTTTGAAAGTATACATAATAAGCTGATAGGACGTAGATCATTGCATGATTCAGGATTGGATACTTTAGAAAGTGGCGACACTAAAGCTTCTTTCCAAGAATTAGGAAAGAATCCTATCTCAAGACAACAGTTAATAGTATGAGTGATGTAGTCACCTATAACTGGAAAACATAGTTTAAGCATTTGTAAAGTAATACCATCTGCTCCTTTAGCATTGCTTTTGATTTTTTGAATTATTTTTAAAATGGTTGATGTATCTGTCATTCTAAAAGAAAAAGTGTTTCCTGAATTATGTTTGTTATGTTGATAGTAATCAATATTGCTTGAGCATGCAGTTTCGTCATTTTGAAAAACTGATATAAAATGACTATTTATATCATCGGGATCAGACAAATGTGTTGGAATGTTGGAAGGTTTAGTATATTGTATTTTGAAATTTTTTAAAGCTTTATAAAAGGTAGATGTATTTTTTTGCTTTGACAGAGAATGCAAATATGCAGCTTTTTCTCTGCGTAGCGAAGCTTTTGCATAGTTTCTTAATTCTCTATAATTTTCCCAACTCTCAACTGTTTTTAGTCTTTTATATTTTGAAAAGGCTTTATTGCGTAACTTCAGGATAAGTTTTAAATTGTCAGTTAACCAGGGAGCTTTAGGTTTACTAACTTTAACCGTTTTTATCGGTGCATGAATATCCAATAAATTTAAAATGTTTTCTCTAAGAAATTGAACTTTTTCTTCTATATTACGTATATACAAAATGTCAGACCAGCGAACATTACGAAGGTCGTTATCAAAAAGATCTAAATCAAAATGTCTAAAATCCCTAAAAGTAATCATTTTTGGAGGTAATTTTGGCACCATAGAAGAAATTTCGCAATAAGAAAGGCTGTGATCACTAAAAAGATCAGTATTGTAAACACCAGCTTTATGACATTGGGCTGCAAAATTAAGAAAGATAGGATCAAGGAGAGTTGCAGAGTGCGAGGTTACTCTCGTTGGTTCCTGAATTACCTGTTCAAAAGCATAAGACTGTAAACATCTACTAATTTTATTGCCAATCTGTAGTAAATCTACATTAATATCGCCAACTATCATAATGTTATCGTAATCAGGAACTATTAATGATAGTATATTATCAAGACAGTCGATTGCTCTTTCGACACTGGTGTTAGGAATACGATAAACGACGCCTAAAACAATTGCCATATTTCCAAGACTAATTTTAACCCAAAGCATTTCTAAAATTTTATTATCAAAATTGACATTTAAATCCAAGACTTCAGTTTGAAAGTGGTCTTTAACGAATACGCCAATACCACCGCCATGTCTATTACGATCAGCACGTAAAAATTTATAAGACGATATATGTAAAATGTCAGATGTTATTTCAGGCGATAGCCATGTTTCAGTGACAGCCATTACATCAAATGATTCTTGGACAATAAATGTTGAGAAATCTGAAAGTGATGGTAAAATAGAACGAATATTACAATTTCCGAATTTAAGTAAATCCCTTTTAAAAACTCTATTATCCATAATTAATTCTTGATTTTAAATTAGAAACATAATATTGCAAAATTGGGCAATTTGAATCATTTGATGTATGATTAGTAGGCACTTTGTTCCTAGCATTCTTATTAAATTTAGTACATTTAATACAGTTTATCACTGGAAATACATTCCTTAAGACTATGTTTGTTTGAACACTTGGGGCAGCATAAATCCTTTTCTGTGCAATTCGTTTGAAGGTGACCATAATTATAGCATTTGTAGCATTTTATTACTCTCAAGTAATCAGATACTTCAGATTTTTTCCAGCCTAGAAATATATATTTTCTCTCTAAGAGAATACGTCTTAAGAATGGGGAGACTTCAATTACGACATTTGTACTATTGAAATGTTTTAGCGTTGTAATTATTTTAATATCTGATTGATTGACTTCAGTAATATCACTAAGTGACATTATATTATTTATAATTTCAGCAGAAGTATTTAATCCATCTACACGAGCATTCTTTATTAGCAGGCGTGGGTTATATTTTATAAGTTCACTAGCTTTGTATTTGTTCCCAATTTTATCGTTTATACCAGTTTTGAGAGCTTGGAGTGATTCTTTATCTTGACAGTGTATTTCTATTTCTATTTATGCATGCTTTTATACGCGTTGGATTTACTGATTTGGCTATATCGGCCAACACATCATTTTGAGTTGCATTATTGTCATCTGATTTAATTATAAGAACAGAGGAGGGTGATTCTTTGACGATGTCGCTGTATTTGGTAAAAGAGGGGACTTGTTCATTTACAGTATTATTTTCATTATTATATTTTTCAATGACAGATTTCTGTAGATTCATTGTATATTTCATGTCAGATAGTAGTTTGTTTGTTAGCTCCTTTTCACGCTTAAGGCAATCAATTTTCTTGTTTAAAAGCAATGTATCATTGTCTTTGGTTTTTCCCCATTGATTTTTACATTCATCGCAAAACCAGAAAATATTTTCGCTCTCAGTTACAACTCTTGACCAGGTATCTTTAACTGAGGCACATACAGCATGAAATTTAAAGTGACATAGAGCGCATTTAATTGATTTAGTACAAACAATGAAATTATCAGAACAAATTTTGCAATATACATCCACATCTGGTGCCATATCGGCTTAAATATATTACAAGATTTGACTGGACTATAATTTTATACAATTGATAAAGTACTAATTACTGTTAGACTTTTTCTAGATCAGGTTTTTTAGTTACAATTCATGATAAATTAATGATTTGTAAGCAATTAAAGACCTTATACCAATAAATAGGGAAAACTGAAATAATTCATCTAAAACACAATATCTACTCACAATTTTTTTGTGGTAGCTAATGCACTCATCCCTGTAGTAATTGGTTATGTTTATAAAATTTTCACCATTACTTTTACCTAATTTTTAGACTATACAACGTCCCGCTAATCGGTCCGCCGTGTCTTACCTTTTGCACAAGCAAGCAATGTTAAGTTGTTAAGTTGAAAATTAAAAAATTAATAATGGGTAAATATATAGGTAGTTATAATGTTATTATTCAATATAATTTTACTAAAATCGGCACTGACAAAATTTAACTAACAGATTTTTTTGCTGTTAGGTAAACTTATAACATAATACCAAACACGTTTAGTGAAGTTATACTAAGTAATAAAAACATGTAAGCCACTAATTTTCAGTTTTCAACTTTTAACATAATTTGAAACGAATCGAGTACCAATTTATGGTAGCGAAACCAGTAGCACATTTAGGAGTATTATTTTCGAAAGACAAAATTTAAAATTTTTCATTTATTTTTTTTTTAACATGGAAATACTTTGCTGCATGCCCTACAGATGAAGCGCTCAACGAAGGCGTCTTAAAAAATAAATTATAGAAAATACGAATGTTACATATGTGATTAGATAATTAACAGATATAAACCTTCATTGCTCAGGACATTAAGTGCTCAAAGGACCCCGCACTTTTTACATTGATTCTGGGTATTGACAGAATTTGTTTAAATTTTAGTATGTTTTTTTTCAGGTCATTAACGGCAACTTTCTTATCGACCTTAAGTTTGCAGCTCTACAGGATGAGCTGTTAGAAAGAGTCAAAAGTATGGAGTGCAGAATTAATATGTTCATATATATCTTTACCACTTATTAGCAATTCAGGTTTTTTTCATAAACTTATGATACGTCTTACACTTGTATATAGTTTATCAATAATTACTTGCACTTGGTAAAATAAATTATACAGAGTGTTCAAAAAATTAGGAATATCAGCTACTGAAATAAGGTACATTTTTCATGTATTACTATAGCTGAAATAAGACTTCTGATGATTTTTTTGTTTTATATAACACTGGATAATTTTTATAAGTAATAAAGGGTTTGACAGAACTACATAAACAACTTATAATTACAAAAAAATACATTTACCGAAGAACTTGATATGCCTACCTAAAATAATCTAGAAAGAATCTTGAAGCGAAATTAAGTT